TTCAACTTCTGTTCCTTCAACTGGACAGTGAGGACAACAGTGCCCACCTCATTGTAGGGAGGCCTAACTGGCATAGGCAGGAAAGGTGATTAATCCAGGGCATAAACGGTAGCGAACACTCAAGTCCTCACACGTGTCTCCCAACTTCGGGACAGAGAGCTCTGGACCGCGGCAACGGACCTTAGTCGGATTCCGTCAGCGCACAGAACGATCTAGTGGACAGCCGGCGCTCAGGCCGKTGATCGCGCCCGCCCGCGGCAGCCCTCGCAGCCCAGGCCGCCCCTCCCCTCCCAGAGCCCGACTCACCCAGCTCGGACAGCTCGTGCGAATCAGAGAAGCGACCTGGGGAGACCGCACAAGAGACGTCGGTGAGCCTGTGCCTCCCCCAGCAGCTTCGCGACCCCGGTCTTCCCCTCCCTACGCCCTAAGGGAACTTGAATGGGACTTCAGAGATGACTCCTCTGAGTCCGCAGGGAAGGAAGCCATTGGGGTCATGGGTCAAGGCCCTGAAGGAATGGGTCAAAGGTCAGTGGCACCTGCCAGCAGGTAACTGAGGCCCCGCACTGCCGTCTCCAGCTGAGCCGTGGCGGCCGGATGACGAGTCACGTACTCCTGGTAGCGGAGGCCCAGGAGCCGCAGCTTCTCCATCCTGCCCTCGGGACCAACAGAGCCACGGRCCGACAGAACGACGGGCTGCGGCGCCCTGCTTCCTGTGCCCTCCTTCCTGCTTCCGGTACTGGACCCGCCTCCCCGTTGCTTAACTTCCGCCGGCCAGAAGGATGGTGACGTGAAAATCCTTTGAACCACCTTTCACCCGATCTCTGAAGTCACCTCCCGCTCGGATAGCGCCTAGAAACTGCGGGCCTAAACCCGCCCTCCCTCCTCCTTCAAGTCATTGGCTAACACACTCTCCGCCCCCGACTCACCCAAAGCCGTCACGACCCCGCTCTTAGGCCTTCTCGGTTGGTTGCCCTTGCGCCTGCGCAGTTGAAGCTCAGCGGCACCCTGGGCAGTTCATTCTAGAGCAGAGTATGAACCTTGAGTCTTTCCAATAGAGCGCCGAGAGGTTCGAACGGGAAGACCTGTACGAACGTGTTTTAAGGGGCTGGGAGACAGCGTGCGGAGAAGAGCTTCGATCAGACTTGGGGAGACTCAGGGAGTCTAAAAAACAGCCAGGGGCTGGGGATATAGCTCAGTTGGTAGAGTGCTTGCCTTGCTTGCACAAGGCCCTGGGTTCAATCTCCAGCACCACCACAAAAAAAAAAAAAAAAAAAAAGCCAGATTGTGTCTCGGCAGGTGCGCATTTAGCCAGTTGCCCCGTCTCCAGTCCCCCACAAGAGGTGGGGCTTGGAAAGAGGAAGCAGAGAGGAGGCCAGCCTCCCAGGGCAGCCTCATTCCCCTAGTCAGCTTAGTGCCCTGGCTTTGACTCAGATCCCTCAAGAACTGAATATCCCAAGATCGCGCATCTGGACGCCCACGTTCGCGGAGGAAAAAGCAAAAACAAAAACCAAGAAAACCCTGGCCAAGCTTCTGCTTTCAGCTCGGGATGACCTTGGGCTCTAGTGTCCCTTCTCTGGGCCTCAGGTTTCCCTGTCTATAAAATGGTTAGAAAACAGACTTGGTCCTTGAACTCGGATCAATCTCAGAGAGCTTCGTAGCCCTCGGACGCATCTCTCCTGGCCCTCAGCTGCGTCCCAATGAACCGGAGTTGCCTTCCCAAACTGAGCAGTTGCCCTGCGAGGGGAGGTGGCGGCCGGGCGGCGCTCCGGAGAGGGAGCTGATTGGCTGTGGGACAAGGGGCGTGGCTTGGCTGCGCCATTGAGTCCGCGGCCCGCGGATTTATGGCACCCCGAAAACAGTAATACATTATTATACCAGTTCCCTTTCAGATACTATATCCAAACGAGGAAAGAGTCTACTTAAGATCCACTGTCTAGGACTTTGAAAAAAGGTTACACCCGCGGGGAAGCCACAACCCTTCCTTCCACTCCTTCCTCCCCAATCCTTCATGGGGAATTAGAGCTGCCCTCACTGTGCGTGCCAAGGAATCAAGACGTGGCCGGGAGCCTCAGAAGAGGCAACGGTCTTGGAGAACAGGAGACCATCATGGCATATTCGAGGTCATTTGTGGTCACCTCCTAGGTACCATGCTCACTTACATTCTCCCCTTGGCAGCTTTGCCAGTTTGGTAGAACTCCTGTCCATAGATGGAGAATTAGATGGCTAAGGAAGAGAAAAGACTTGGCACAGCAAGTCATTGATCAAAGGGGCTCCCAACAGTGTCCTCTTGCCTATTGCCCTCAGCCCAGGAGGAATATACATTGAGGCTCTTTGGTCAGGAGGCAAGCTGGCAACTGGGATTAGAACCTGGGCAGTGACTCTTTCTTTTCCTTCCTTCATCTCATGATCTTAATGACCTTGTTCCCTGTGGTCACTCCCACAGCCCTCTCCTACAGCCGTGGAGAGTCAGGAGGGTCTGTGTACAAGCTTTCTTCAGCCCCTTCTCCAGGGCTGGTGTTCCTGTGCTCTGGGAAGAAGGGAGAGGCATGGAGGACAAAGAAGTAGTCCCCTACCCCAGGTGCTAGGGTTGGAGCCTGTTTTCCCTCCTTTCCTCCAGGGAAGGACAKCATGGGCCCAGCCCAGTTGGCGGCAGCAGGGCTACCTGAATTTCCTCTCTAGATCCTAAGTCTGATTAGGCCTCAGAAACAAAGAGTGGCCATGTGCCGGAGGCCTCCCGGCTTGGACCCCTGCCTGGACCAGGCCACCTGGCTTGGCTAGAAGAGCTTCTGGGCAGGTTGGGCTGGATTCTCCCTCCAGCCTGCCTCAAGTCACAGGGGAAGAGAATTAGACCAGTCCAACAGGTACTGAAGACATAGGAGGCCCGGAGGAACGAGTCCACGGTCACACAACAACGTCCTGGGCCAAACCTGGTCTCAGGCCCAGAGGACCAGCACAATTTCATATGCCTAACTTATCCACCTTTCCCTCTGCACACTCCTAGAACCACACCTCACAGGTTCGGAAGACACATGGGCCCTGGCTTTCCCCCTGAGTGCTAAGGTTGAATGAGAGGAGGGGCCAGCATTAAGAATGACCACAGGGAGATCTGCAGTCCCAATCACCTGTCACTTTATGCAAGACTTATCCTGGGCCAGAAGCCCTGCCTGCTCCCTCACATTTAACCCCCACAAGGAGTCTATGCTGAAAACTGTGGGGAGGGAATCTCCCACCCCCACCCCAACTACTGCTAGACACGAAGACCAGGGAGTGGAAACTGAAAACTCTGGGTGCTTCAGTGGCCCCTGCATCCCCCCATCTTCTGTAAACTTCCAGATATACAAGGAGCTGCCATCAGTCTCCACAGTAACCATTACTCCTGTTCTCCAAAGGCTGACCCCCATCTCCCCAAGAAAGGCTTCCTGACTTCAACCAGGAGGACCCAGTCTCAGGCTGGGCTGCTCCGTTTGGATCTGCTTCACTTTTTACTGTTGGACATTGAGCTAAAGGACCCAGCCTGAGCCCCTTTCCAGGTCTCAGTGAGGCCAGGTGGAGTCCATGGAGGGGAGATTCTCTTTTCCACCCACTCTCCACACATCCTGAGCACTTGGTTGGGCACCCTCTCCCAGCATCGGATCTCCAGCAGCTTGCATTCTAGGAGAAGGACAGTCTATAAATCAGCAAACAACTTCAACTTTCCCGGAGTGGCAGAAAGAAAATAAAGGAATGTGGAATGAGTATCTGCATTCCAGGCAGAAGGAACAGGTCAAAGGCAAGTCCTGGGGCAGGAGACTCTTAAGGAAGGAGGAGAAACTCCTGGTGCAGCACGGAATCTGGGGGAGGGGCAGGAGAGGAACAGCCGGACAATYGGGAAGGGACCAGAGGTGTTCTTATCTAACACTTGAACTCTCCTCCACGGAGAGTCAGGCTGAGTCCTCGGATTGATTAACTGAGATGAGGCGTGTCAAACCCTTAGCACAGGGCCTGGCACCCGGTATGCACGCAGCCAACCGTGCCTTCTTGTTCACAGTCCAGAGGGCCTAGAGCCCCTCCAGGGCCAGAGGCGAGGCTGGGTCCTGCTTCAGGGTGAAGAAGCAGAAAGAAGGGGAGGGAGGAAGAAGAGATCCGGGCCACGGTGTCGGCCACAAATCACAACTATCTAGCAAGGGTGAGGGGTATTCGGCCCTGCGCAGAAGGCACTGAGGCCCCTCGCCAGCTCCTGGGCAGGAGATGGCCTTCAAAAGGGCGCTTAGTCCGGGTCGCTCCAGGCCGCCATTGGGCCTGCCAGCTACCTGGACTGAGGGTGCGGGGAAGAAGGCGGAGGATCCAGGTGCTCGGCGGCTTCGGGACAAGTCTCGGCAAGCCCCGCCTCCTGTCCCCAGAGCAGGTGTCGCCTACTCCGCAGCCCAACATTCCAGTCCCTTCCCTTTTACTCCAGCCGGGCTCCCGCTGGCCCTTTGATCCCGAGCCCGGGGTCACCGGCCCCTCCCCTCAGGGAGGTTAAGGGGAAGAGCTGGGGCCCCAGAGCAGGGACGAGGGGGATGGGCTCAGAGCAGGTAGAGAGAACTGGGCCTTCCTGGGTGGCTGACCCCACTCGCTCCAGCACTCCCCGCCGCTGGTAGAAAACTCTGCACAGAAAGGGGGTTCTCAGTTCTAGCGGGCTGGGGGGCCAGCGGGTGGCGGGACAGGGCGGGGCCAGGCCCTGGGGGTCTCCCCGCCCCTTCGAGCTCAGCCAAGCGGAGGTGAAACCTGAACCCAGGTTGGGGGCGGGGCTGGCCCGCGCCTCTCCCCTCTTCCCCGCACCGGGCCGGCAGCTGGAAGAGCTGGGCCGGGCTCCCGAGCCGCTGGAGCAGGTGAGGGCGGCGACTCCGCGCGGGAAGGACAGCCGGGCGCCCGTCGGGCCCCGCAGCGCAGTCCTGACCCTCCTCTCCTCGGTCCGCAGAGCCCGCAATGGAGCCGGCAGCCCGGGGTCGCTCCCCGCCCTGAGCGCCCAGCACCAGGCCATGCTGCCCCGAGGGCGCCCCCGGGCGCTGGGGGCGGCCGCGCTGCTGCTGCTGCTGCTCCTCCTGATCGGGTTCTTTCTCTTGGGCGGGGACCCGGAGTGTGAGCGCCTCGAACCAGACGGGAGAGCTGGGGACCTGGGGTGCCCCCGATGCCCGCTCACGCCACGTGTCCCCTCAGACGGGAGGCTGCGGSGAGCTTCTGCTCTCGATGGAGACCCGCTGGCGGGCCATTGGGACCATAACCGCTCGGCCTGCGACCCGTGGCCGCAGCTGCCGCCCAAGTGCGAGGTAGGTGCCCTTGGCCTCTGGAGTTGTGACCCAAGAGGCCCCGCGCCCCGAAGGACCAGCTGGAAACCTGTGGAGGAAATGACACCTGGCACTGACCAGCCAGCTGAGGGAGCCTCCAGTGCACATGTCCTCTGTTCCTGGCCTCAGTTTTCCCACTTGTGAAATACAGGGGCTGTTTGGCTGCACACTGTTCCCAAGCTCTGATGCCAGGTTGGGCTATGCCCATCAGTGGAAGCGGGGGACTACTTATGTATGACCTGAGTGTCCCCTCCCCAGCTCTTGCACGTGGCCATCGTGTGTGCTGGACATAACTCTAGCCGAGAGGTCATCACCCTGGTGAAGTCCCTGCTCTTCTACAGGTACAGCCAGGTGTCCTTGGAGGAGGGTCAGGAGTGGGAAAGGGGAGAAAATCTTGGCAAGTCACTGGTCTTTGGGCTTCAGCTTCCTTATCTGTGGCAGGGGGATGGCATCCCCTCCTCCCGCAGGGATGGCTGCTGACTGTCCTGAGCAGGCCATGGAAAGCCCTTTGCTCCAGGCGGAGCTACCATCTCTGAGCTCCTGGAGGTGAGGGTCGCCCCATTTTGTTTCTCCTGGGGCTTCTCAGGACTTCTCTCTGTTGATCCTGAAGGAAAAATCCGCTGCACCTCCACCTGGTGACTGATGCTGTGGCCAGAAACATCCTGGAGACGCTCTTCCGCACATGGATGGTGCCTGCTCTTGGGGTCAGCTTCTACCATGCTGACCAGCTCAAGGCAGGAATCCCGCCCCCTCCTGCCCACCGGAGTCCACACTGCTCCTTACTCCCACCGCTTGGTGATACGGGGGGGGGAGAGTCCCTGTCCCCTGTCCCATCACACCTACTGAAGTTCACATCCCTCTCTCTTTTGAGGTCCTCTTCTGCCCACTGTGTCACTGACTATGTTCGGGCACCCATGGCCTCCTTCTCTGCCAGCTCATGCCCTGCCCTTCCCACCTACAGCCACAGATCTCCTGGATCCCCAACAAGCACTACTCCGGCCTCTATGGGCTAATGAAGCTAGTGCTGCCCGGTATCCTGCCCCCTGGCCTGGCCCGAGTCATTGTCCTGGACACGGATGTCACCTTCGCCTCCGACATTGCAGAACTCTGGGCGCTCTTTGCTCACTTTTCTGGTGAGAGGCCTGGGCCCTAGCCCTTCCTTGCCAGCCCCTTCCCTGGCTTGCCCAGGCCACCCTGTGGTCTAGCCCAGAGCCCAGGTCCTCGGGCAGTCTTGGGCAGTTCCCTCATGCCCTCCCCTCCCAGACAAGCAGGTGATCGGGCTCGTGGAGAACCAGAGTGACTGGTACCTGGGCAACCTCTGGAAGAACCACAGGCCCTGGCCTGCCTTGGGCCGGGGATTTAACACAGGTGGGGATAGTGGTCGGGGAGGCAGGAGGGGTGGGCTGCTGGGCCCCAGGGGCTGGGCAGGGCTCAGAAAGCTAGGAAGCCCCCAGGAAGAACAGTGCTATGGAAAACACACTGGATGAAGAGCTGAAAACAGTTTGACCTCAGCTCCCCCATGCTGGKTGACTGCGGCCAGCTCTCCTGGTCCCTCTTTTTACTCATTCATAAAATGGAAAAAGTGTGAATAGCTCTGGCATCACTAAGTGTTAGATGGTGGCTGCGGGGTACTCGGCAAGTTGTGTGGTATTCAGTACCTCCCTCCGCTCTGTCCCCAGAGGACTAGTGATTGACGACTCACCATTACATCTGAACTATCAAAAAACACAGTCCTGCATTAACAATGGGGATACATTCTGAGAAATGGGTTGCTAGGCAATTTCGTTGTTGCACAAACATCCCAGAGTGTACTTGCACAAATCTAGATGGAATGGCCTACACACCCAGGCTGGGGGATGTGGTCCTGTGTTCCTAGGCAGCACACCTGTGCAGTGTGTGACTGTGCTGAATGCTGCAGGCAGCTGTGACACAGTGGTGAGTGCTTGTGTATTAACATAGAAAAAGTACAGTAAAAATGCCAGGTAACAGTAACTTTTCAGTTTCAAATCTTTTTTTTTTTTCTTTTTTTCTTTTTGGTACCAAGGATTGAACCCAGGTGCACTCAACCACTGAGCCACATCCCCAGCCCTTTTTATATTTTATTTAGAGACAGGGTCTTGCTAAGTTGCTTGGGGTCTTACTAAGTTGCTGAGGCTGGCCTTGAACTTGTGATCCTCCTGCCTCAGCCTCCTAGGCCTCTGGGATTACAGGTGTGCACCACCACACCCAGCCATCCCCAAATAATCTTAGGGGAGAGGGACCCCTTGAATATGCCATCTGTCATTGACTATAATGTTATGCAGCACAGGATTATATCCATAAATAAAAAAAATCAGCATTCAGTTGGTACCTTCACAACCCCCACCCCCAAGGAACTTGTCCCTGGTGGGCATGACAGCCTCTCCCCATTGGCAGGTGTGATCCTGCTGTGGCTAGACCGGCTTCGGCAAGTGGGCTGGGAGCAGATGTGGACGCTGACAGCTCAGCGGGAGCTCCTCACCCTGGCTGCTACCTCCCTGGCTGACCAGGTCTGGGAGAACCTTTGGGTGGGTGGGGCGGGCAGGGGGCTGAGGTGTGATGGCTGTCTCTGCCCAGGACATCTTCAATGCTGTCATCAAGGAGCACCCGGAGCTGGTGCAGCCCCTGCCCTGCGTCTGGAACGTGCAGCTGTCTGACCACACACGGGCAGAGCACTGCTACTCTGAGGCGGCTGACCTCAAGGCGAGTGGTGCAGGGGGCTAATGGAGGTGGGGGACAAGGATGGGACTCCTGTATYCTGCCCTCATCCCCCTGCTCATACCCTCCTGGGTCTTAGGTGATCCACTGGAACTCGCCAAAGAAGGTGAGGGTGAAGAACAAGCACGCTGGATCCTTCCGCAACTTCTACCTGACCTTCTTGGGGTACGATGGGAACCTGCTGCGGAGAGAGCTCTTTGGGTGCCCCAGCCAGACCCTTCCTGAGGCTGAGCAGGTTAGAGGGAGCCACCCTCCCTGCCCTGCCCTTGGGGAGGCCCGTCCCTTTCTGTTCTGGTGGATCCCAGCCTTGGCCCTTTTCTCTGCCCGCTCAGTTGCAGCGGGCCCTGGCACAGCTCGACGAGGAGGACGCCTGCTTTGAGTTCCGGCAGCAGCAGCTGACCGTGCACCGTGTGCACATCACCTTCCTGCCCCATAAACCACCACCTCCCCGGCCACACGACATCACCCTGGTGGCCCAGCTCTCCATGGACCGGTGAGGGTGCTGAAGGCAGCCCCAGGGAGCGCTTCCTGGCTGGGCCTGGGGGTTTCAGAGAGGGTGGGTGGCAGTGAGCTGCCTGTCCCTGGACCAGGGGGTCCAGCAGTTGGAGACTCTGGTTCTGGTGGAAAGAGCTTGAGCTTCAGGTGCCTAGAACTGCTGCTTGGCAGGGTGGGATCAGGGGCAGGTCCGAATATCTCAGTTCCTTAGCTACCTTTTCTCATTTGTTAAATGAAGAAGTGCGGCCTGCGGGGTAGTTGTGAAGATGAAATAGGACTGGCTCAAATTGGAAGTGGGGGAGGAGGTGTCCATAGCAGCTCACTTTGGGGAGATTTTCCAGGCCCCCCTGGGCCTCTGTGCAAGAGGCTGACCTCCCGCCTCACCCCAGGCTGCAGATGCTGGAAGCACTGTGCAGGCACTGGCCGGGCCCCATGAGCCTGGCCTTGTACCTGACAGATGCTGAGGCCCAGCAGTTCCTGCATTTCGTCGAGGCCTCGCCCGTGCTCTCTGCCCGGCAGGACGTGGCTTACCATGTGGTGTACCGTGAGGGTCCCCTCTACCCTGTGAACCAGCTCCGAAATGTGGCCTTAGCCCAGGCCCTCACACCTTACGTCTTCCTCAGTGACATTGACTTCTTGCCTGCCTACTCTCTTTACGACTACCTCAGGTGAGCCCAGAGGTTATGAGGAACTGCATTTAGGATGGATATTGCCAGGGTTGAGATCTCCGTAGGACTCCAGGCSGTGTCCTGTTCCTTTCTGGTCTCAGTGTGCTCTGCACAATGGGGTTTGTATTAGGGTGTGTCTCTGGGCTGCCATTAGAGTCAGGGAGGCTGGGACTTCTTCAAACAGAAGTTACTCTGTGCCTACTGGGGGCTCCAAGGTTAGCTGTCCTTTGAAAGGCAGGTCCTGTGGCTGAGCTTTAAGTTCTCTGAGCCCACTCCTCCAGGGAGAGGCCCTTCCCTGCCTTCATGGGTGCTCCTCCTAGGGCCTCCATTGAGCAGCTGGAGCTGGGCAGCCGGCGGAAGGCAGCTCTGGTGGTGCCCGCGTTTGAGACCCTGCGCTACCGCTTCACCTTCCCCAGTTCCAAGGCCGAGTTGCTGGCCTTGCTGGACTCCGGCTCGCTCTACACCTTCAGGTAGGACAGGCTGCTGCTCTGCTCAGCTGTGCCCACCCTGCACCAACGAGCTCCTAGCCTCAGCCTGGCCCCTGCCTGATCCCACTGCACAGGTACCACGAGTGGCCCCAGGGGCACGCGCCCACGGACTATGCCCGCTGGCGGGAGGCTCAGGCGCCATACCGGGTGCAATGGGCAGCTGACTATGAGCCCTATGTGGTGGTGCCACGTGACTGTCCGCGCTATGACCCTCGCTTTGTGGGCTTTGGCTGGAACAAGGTGGCCCACATCGTGGAGCTGGATGCGCAGGTGAGGAGGGCGCCTTGCTGCCTCCAGTTTCCATCTGAACAGGTCCTCTAGCGCCTCTGCTGGCGGCTGCCCTTTGGTCCCCGCCTCAGTTCTTAGGGGCTGCCTTGTAAGCCTTTCCCCAGAGCTGCAGGCTCCCGCCCAGCCTGCCCCTCGCCCTCACCTGCTGCAGGAATTTGAGCTCCTGGTGCTGCCTGAGGCCTTCACCATCCACCTGCCCCACGCACCGAGCCTGGACATCTCCCGCTTCCGCTCCAGCTCCACCTATCGCGACTGCCTCCAGGCCCTCAAGGAGGAGTTCCATCAGGACTTGTCGCGCCGCTATGGGGCTGCTGCCCTCAAATACCTCACTGCCCTGCAGCAGCCACGAAGCCCTGCCTGAGCCGCCCCGGGCTGGGMCCGCTGGGCTCGCTCGCCCTAGCGCTCACACACTCTCTGAAGACACCAGGGACGTTGCCACTCCGCCCCCAGCTGCCCTCCCACCATCTCTGCTATTTAAATTATTTAAGGACTCTGTGGGCGTGGTTCGGGTGGAATGCTGCCGACCCTGGGTCCCTCCCCTGCCTGCCTTTGCCCCAGCTGGTTTGGGGCTGGCTCCCCTGCCCTGAATTGTACATCACTTTTTCATAAGTAAAGTTTGAAAAGGTTCTTTTCATGTTCCTTTTGATTTGGGGGATCAAGGGCTCTCCAGGGTCTGAGGGCATCCGTGGACAAGGGGGTGCTCCCTGGGTACTGTCACAGCATGGCCAGAGAGAGGCCTGGGGCGGCAGCAGTGCAGCTGGGTCCCACCCAGGCAGTGAGAGTTCCCGGGAGGGCAGAGGCTGGAATTTGAGTGGGTCTTGAGTTTGTGAGCCCTGCCCTTCCTTTACAAGCCACCCTTCCCCAGCCCAAACCCAATACCATGAGGCCGAGAGACTTTATTTGGCTTTATTTAGTAAAATGTTAAAATAAATAAATACAAATTGATCAGCTGCTCTGTTTCCCCCCACCCCCTCAAAACAAAAATCAAACAAACAAAAACAAAAACTTTGAAGCACAAAACTCCAAATACAAGTTCTACCAAGACTGAAATCACAAAGGGCATGGACAAGAGACAGGATTGGGGTCTGGCTGGCTCTCCTCTGCGCGCGCTTGCTGACCTCTGGCCTGTCTGTCCCGCCCTGCCTGACTGCAGCTCACACTGGGCTGAGAGGCGAGGAGGCTGGAGAGAGGCATAGGGCCCAAAAGCTGTGCGGGGTGGGGGTCCTCAGGGAGGAAGAACCTTGGGAGAGGGGGTGCCAAGTGGAGTTTGTGAGCCCTGCCCTTCCTTTACAAGCCTGGCTCTCTGGTGGGGTAACCCCAGCTTCCTCCCCTTCCCCTGGTGGGAGGGCCCGTGGAGTCTTCCCAGGGGCCACCACTTCCTTCCTGGAGAGGAGCTGACAGGGGCACAGGGGGTAAGCCCKGGGGAATGGGGCTCCTATTTCCTGCCAAGGGTGATGGCTGAGGGGTGGGGTGCGGTCCAGTCACTGACACAGCCACGCTGCCTCCATTAACAGAAGCCATGGGAGTGGAGAACCTAGGACCTGGAAAATGTGCCCTGGCCCTATCCATCCTGCCACCCCAGGAGCCTTCTGCCCCTGGGTGAAAGTCTCCTGAATTCAGCCCTTTAGATAAATAAGGATCACACCCAAGGAGGGAGAGAAGGTAAGAGACCACTTAAGAGAGCGTGAGCAGCGGCCTTAGTGATGAGAGCCCAAAGGGCTCGAGAGAGGAAGCATCAGGGGTGGCGCAGAGGCAGCTAGCTGACCGTGTGGAGACTGAGGCATCTGGCAAGATGGCACTCTGGGGAGGCGCCGTGTGCCAAGTGCACCAGTTCATACTACCTCCTGCCTGGACCAAGCAGCAGCAGAGACAGGGGCAGGCCTGCAGGGAAGTGGGCACCCAGATGGTGACCTCTGCAGGTGCCCTGGGCACATCCCAGGCTCCAGAGACAACCCTCACACAGGCACGGCCCTCCCAGGGCCCGTCCCTAGCTGAGTCCTCTGGTCAGGCRCCACCAGCAGCTTGCCCCAAAGGGCCTGATAAGGAAGGAAGAACTTGGGAGCTGGATGAGCTCACCCAGGCCAGACAAGACCCAGCAGGCTTCAGAAAGCAAAAGGACCTGCAGGCCCCAAGAATGCAAAAGGTGGGGAAGCAGCAGCATGACCTCACTGCCTCCAGGACTGCGGCTGGTCAGGGACAGGAAACCCCAGGCCAGAGCCCTCCGATGTGACTGTAAAGCTAGCTGGTCACTATGTGGATGTCAGAGCAGCTAAATGCTGGGCCAGGAGAAGCAGAGGAAGGAGGAGGAGGCAGAACAGCTCAGATGGGGCTGGTATGTCCCAGGTGGTCACGGGCACCTCTGTCTGGGGGACAGAGAGGAGCTCTTTCCTTGGCATGACTCTGAAGACCGAGTGACCAGACCCTTTCAGTTCAGCAGCATTTGGGAGTTTGAGACCAGAATGGAGGCTGTGGCAGGTTGGGTTCTGTACTACACAGCTGACCCACTGAACTCCAGGAAAAAGCCACCTCCCAGCTTTAAGGTGAGGTCAGAAGGCAGGCGACACTGATCACAGCAGCGGGCAAAACACTGGTCAGTTCTTGGCCTGGCCCCTTGGCCTGTGATTCCTCAGGCAGCTCTCCTCAAAACAAAGTAATGATGACTTCCCAAGTGCTTTCCACAAAAGGAAATGGGCCTCGACAAGTCGAGTGGGAGAGCCGAGGCAGGGTGGATAGCCTACCGCTAGTCTCTGATCCTCCGCCAAGGATTCCTCCAACTAGTCCAGGCAGCTTCAAAGCTCCCTGACTAGACATAGCACCTTGATTTCTGCATGAAAAGGGGGCTCTTCTCTGTTTCCCTCAACCAACCTGGCAGCCAAGGCCTGACCCTGAGACCTTGCAGTTGGACAGTTTCCTCTCCTGACACCCTGGAAAGATGAATGAAGTGGCTGGTATGGATGAGACTCAAATTCACTCTAAGAAGCATCTCTTCTCTGCTGCCCTTGGCTTTCAGGATCTAACTCTGTCTCTCTGGGCCCAGCTAGGCGAGGGAGAAGTGAAAAGGGCCTTTTCTGCCACTCCTAGACCTCCAGCATCACAAAGTCTGGGGTGGGCTCAGAAGAGACTGTTGCAGGGTCAGGGCAGAGCCTCTGCCTCTGTCCCTTAAGCTTGGGACACACCAGAGACAAAGGTCTTCAGAAAAAGCATGCATACACAATTTCTCACCGTCATGATGAGAGAGATGATCTCAGTCTTTCAGAGAGCTGGTTTTCCAAGAAAGAGAGGACACAACAGGCCAAGCAAAGTGAGCACAGCGATTCTAGCCCAGGGTCACCCAGGAGGCTTGTGGGTGGGGGGAGTGGAGCAAACTGGTGCCTGGAGCCAGCAGGCAGAGGAAGTGGCTGGAGCTTCAGACCTCTCTCCAAAAGCAAGACAGACTTGAAGGCCATCGGGCTCTGTCTCAGAGACACATGCTCCCACAAGACATCTCCCTCCTCCTTTGTTCTCTCTAAGCACCAAGGGCTGATGCAGCCAGCCTGCACCCCTGTACCCTTCCTGAGGCCAGGGTACAGGGGTACCAAGGAGCCTCAATGGCCTTTCCCCTCAGAGGTGCCCCCCAGGCACTCGTAATGCTGGTGGCTGAAAGACTGAGAGCAGCACCAAAGGAAGAGGTCTTATTAGGCACCAGCCTGTGCTCTAGCAAAATCCGAGGAGACCATGGGAAGGGCCTACACCATGCATACTCCATCTGGGCTTCAGAAACAGGAGACAAGACCCTGYACCAGGAAGAGAGGACAGTCTTTTCTGAGAAGGGGAAGCGGGTGGGGAAAGCCCCACCCAGCCCTTCATGGAGACTGGCCACCAGTCTAGAGACACAAACACAGCAAAATGTCATAATGATCAGCAGGTTCTGTGCTAAAAAATTATAACTACACGGCGTTTCTCCAGTTCTGACACCTTTTTAATAGAAATCACTGTTTTTAGGAAACAAATAGCACTTTTGTAATTTTTTTTACAATGTTTCTTACCTTGATCTTAATTTAAGTAACACTAGGAAGACCTCAATATCTTTTATTTTCCTTTTTAATTTTAAAAAAGTTGTTGTTGTTTTCCCCAGATACAAAGATTTTTGCCCTTGCATAAAAAAACAGTGCCCGAACGATGACACAAGGACTCACACAGACTCACAGGACCTCACCGACACTATGGTTCCTATTCTACCATGCAAGGTCTCGACTACCCTTAATTGGACTGTCAGCCTGAAAAACAGCTTTTCTATTTCTTATTTTAGTTTTTGTTACAAAAAAAGTAAAATAAACAACAAAATAAAACTTTGTTTAAAGGAAAAAAGAACAAAATAAAAAAAATAAAAAAAAAAGAGGAAAGAAATGTCTCCATTCGATTCTCACACACCTGGGTCGCGTGCTGCTTCACTCAGGATCTGCTCTTCTCATAAATATAGAAAAGGGATGGAGCTTGTTTTCAAGTAAAATCACTGATTCACCTTTTTTTCTTCGCTGGACCACACACACACCCTTCTTCCCTGCCTCAGGCAAGGTCAGCATGCCCCTGGCTGGGCTTGCCTTGGTCTCCAGAGGGACTGAGGGGGTCGCCCATGTGGATGCACCAGGCAGGGAGGAGGGAGTGGGGGGGGGAGCGCAGGAGCGGGCTGGGAGGGGAGCCAGTGGCTGCTTGGCGTCCGTCTCTCCTTCACTAGCCCCCCAGACAATGTTAAATACTGCTAATCTGATATACTTTCCCCCCCCTTGCTCCCTCCCAGCCCCTCCCCCTTCCCTTTTCTGGGCACTGGGTTGGTTAAATCTCGATTTCCATTTTTTTGGTTTGATAGTAGTGAAAGTTTAGAAACAGGAAAGCCCACACACTCTTTGGACTTGTCTTCTCTACCTAGACAAACGGCTCGGCAAATAAGGATCTGAAACCTGCTCTCCTCCCTCCGCCCATCCCTGCTCCCCACCCAACAAAACAAAAACAAACCCATCGTGGCTGTGGAGGCTGCTGCAGGCACACACTGGTGTATAATAGAGAGAGTAAATATATTATTTCACTTGGCATGGTGCTGGCAAAGAACCTCCAGCTGGCACTATTTCATGTAACGTGGTCCAATCTTCGCGTGTACACACAGAATAAGAAGGATCAATTGGCAAACTCGGGTGCCACCTGGCACAAGCATCTTCCCTCTCTCTGGAACCAAAGAACCAAAAGAATCCTGTACTTTCCAGAAGAAATCCGGCTTTGCTTTTCTAGAGTCTTCAGTGTTGTTTTTCTCCTTGCCGCCGGGATCCCGTGGCTTCTCCGTGAGGGCTCTGTTATTTAGTCTCTTCCCCCTGGCTACAGTTCGCTGCGCAGCTCTGGGAGGAGGGGGAAGGGGCCGGTGTGGAGGTGGTGGCGCTGGCAGGGGGGGTGCAGTCCGGGCCATTGGAGATGGCCCCCACAGCGGCCTCAGAGTCCACAGGTCTGGAGAGGTCGATGCCGTGGATGAGGCGGATCAGCTGTTTTACCTTCTCCAGGGAGCTGTGCATCTCCTTCTGCCGGGCGAGGATGGCGTTCTTCATTTCCATGCATTTCTGTAGCAAATGAGAATAGGGGGCACTGAGCATCCTGCTTTTCTAAGGGGTCTAGAAGCCCCAGAAGGGAGAAGCCTGYCCAATAAAAGAAGCCCTGGGACTGTTGTGTAGCCCCTAGAACTTGTTCTGTTCTACCTGGTGTGGGCAGCGGCTGCCTACAGAGAGGCAGGTGAGAGGTGGACAGGCGAGTGGGCTGACTGCCAACATCCACTCGACAGGAGCCTTAACTAGACTTCACTCCCACCATGACACTATGAAATCAAAGTCATAAAAAAATTTCCCACAGCTGCTGTAAAGCTGGCCTGGKCAGGGGTTGGTGTGCTTTGTCATGCTGAGGGTGGCCTTCAGGACCGGGCTGAGCTCTCTAGGGTAGAAAACAAGACAGTGTTGTGTGGTTCACGTAGAGGGCCTATGGAGCATCGCCTGGTCAGTAAGAGTTTAGAGACAGACTGGTGATGTTTAGGCGCACCCGAAGCCCAAGGACTATGACCATTAGGACTCCTCCTTGCGTACTTAGGGACTTGTAGTCTTTCTCCCTTTAGTCCTTGGCCTTCCCCAATGCTGGCTTCTGCTGTAGGCAGGGAAAGAGGTATTGAACCTGACGCCACAGGTAGGTACTGTGGTATGAATGGTGTGGAAGAGGGAGTGAGTGAAGGGCCAGCTGAGGTGACCAGCAGGAGTCACATGGAGGGTCAGGTGAGGCTCTACCCTCCTCCCCCTCACTGTCAGAAGCATGCAGGGTGGTGGCGCTACTGTCATAGCTGCTACTTATTCCTTCAGCATGGAGACTGGAAAATCCTCGCAGGTTAAAATTCAAGAGGATGCTCCAGGGCCAGGCTGGGCGCCACACGCCAGCTGGCCACCCAGGCCCAGGGCTGAGCTCTAACTGGAAGACCAGCTTCACTTCACACCTGCAGAGTTAATCACGTTAATAAACGGAAGGACCTGAACCAGCCCTTGGGTCCAAGTGTCCTGCAGGTACACGGAAGGGTCCACACTTGTGCATCTGAGTCACTGCCGGCAGGAGGGGGACTTACACTTATAGAATTGCTGAGTTGTTTCACCTTCTGCTCTAATTGTTCTCGTTCTTGTTTTAAATCTGAACTCCATTTAAGTAATTTCTGTTTCTCTTCTTCTTTAGCTGAGAAAAAAATAAATATAATAATATTTTTATAATAATGAACTCTTTGACAAGGCCACTGGGCTCAGAGCTTGCTGAAGAAGATATTTTCCCCAAAGTGCTCCCCAGTCTCACAGCTAGAGCACATTACCTGCCCACCTGGACTTTTCCTTGGTCTACGTCCATCATACTTTGCACTTTCCACTTCATTTAATAAAAGGTTTTCATATTTAATTTTACTTGAGAAAACAAACAAAAAGTATTGCCTTCCACCTTCTTTAAAGAAGGTGGACCTTACCAAACAAGGAGTAGAGTGACCTTTACCTGCTTTGTAGGCAATATAGGAATGAACAATTGCTAAAGTTCCGGGCCATGGAATTGCTTCTTCCTTCTTCAGCATCTGAAAAGAATTTAAGAGTTCTACCTTGAGAAGGAGACAGAAATACACATCCTCCAGGTAAACGCACACAATAGAAATCCAGGAAGGGTTTACAGAAGCACTGTTGCAAAACCCTGGTCTAGAGTTTCTGGACTATGAAGTTCCGAAGTTAGCTTTGCAGAATGAGGTTTAAGGTGGCAAGAGCCAACATACATGTGCCTAGGCTTTAGGAGGAGCTGGCACTTGGCTGAGCATTCTTTTCACATGAGCCAAAATGATCCCACCCCACTCTCAACAGCTGGGACACCAGCATAAAAGCTGTTCATGAGCATGGCAGCCGCCAAGGGGGTTTGTTCTGGATCTGACGTGGGCTGCCTGTTTCAATTTTTGCCTTATACATCCCTCAAAGACATCTTGACTAAGGACATTAAATATTGGTTCCAAGTACTGAAGTATAATCTCGACCCTGTGTAGAAGATTATCAGAGGGTCACAAAGGCAGAGAGGGTGGCTCCTCTATGCTGCAAACAGTGGGACAAGAGCCAAGAGTAAAGCTAGAACCTCCCAAATCAGGGTTTTCAGAAGAACTGAGCAGAATCCTGATGCATGGTGAGCTACTGAGCTTGTTTATTATTTATAACTTCCTTACTACCAAAAGACTCAAGATCGCTTTTAATAAAGACATAAAGATGCCTGAGAAAATGAGACCAGGAAGAAAACAAGGGAAAGAAGAGACTAGGTCAGTTACTAGTATGTATGCCTGTGAAGTCTGCAATAACAAGACAGCACTTTACAGTGAGTTCTCTAAGGCTGATGACAACAGAGTTTAAGATGGAGAACCTCTGAGGAAATGAGGTGTCTCCTGAGCGCTGTGCCATGAAATGGGGAGGAGTAACCAGCAGAAAGAAGAGAACCCTGTTCCTAGGATCAGAGGGGAAAGGCATTCCCGACGGCACAGTCYTCTCCCCTTGGCCCTGAACTGGTACCTGGTCCTGACATCTTGGACAGATCCACATGCCCTTGGGAATTGTTTTCAGAGGYGGGTCTAAGCAGTCCAGGTGATACACACGGGAACATGTGTCGCACATCAGCAACTGGCCACTTTTTCTGCAAACACTGCAAAAATCCTCATGGATATCACCCTATGAAATTGAGAGGAAAGGTAAGAAAAAGGACAAAAAGGTAAATTTTTCATGTTAACATGTACTCTCTGGATGCATATCAATGTCTTAGGACAAGGTGTTGACACAGCACAGTGCCTGCCCCTCCAACACTTTAGTGTTTAAGAAAAGTCGGAAATGCCAATGGTATAAGTCTGCAACCGCTCCACATGGCTGAGGTTCCCTRGGTGGGGACAGTATTCTTAACTTTAGAAATTAGAGTTTACAGGAAGTTCTGTAGTTGGCTAGGCCAAAATTGTAAGTGACAACTCAGCATTGAGTCCAGGAAATTTAACAGGCACTGAAATCCAATCACCAAAGTGTCTCACAATATGATACAAACAATCTCAATTACCTACCATTTTGGCAAGAAGGATTGGGAAAGAGACAAGAAATTTTTACTGAACTCCTAGATTATTCAGGAGGAGAATATAGTAAAAGTCCAAATGGGAAAAGACTGAGTCATGAGTAAATTAAACTCATCAGCTTCCTAATATGAAGAATTTAAGAAGCGAAAGCAATGACTGACACCTCCCCCCCCCCCCCACCTCTCTCCCTCTCTTTGGTATTGAAGTGCTTTACCACTGAGCTATATACCCAAACCTTTTCATTTTTTATCCTGAGACAGGATTTTGCCAAGTTGCTGAGGCTGGCCTTGAACTTGCAATCCTCCTCCYTTAGCCTCCTGAGTAGCTGCAATTACAGGTGTGCACCACAGTGCCCAGCTTGAACCTGCTCCCTTAAAAGCCAGTATTTTGCATTCGCTATTCAATGGACCATTCTATTGTGGGAGTCTTTATTCCTCCCTATAAAATACTTCACCAGATGGAAAAAGACAAGCAGCCCTAGTCCTCTCTGGCCCTTCATTGTGACAGTTTTAGTACTCAGGAGAGTCTGCTGGAGCCCGATGAACAGAAGGCACCATCAGAAAAGCAGCAGATCTATTTAAAATTTGAAGAGGAGAACACGGGGAGAGAGAAAAAGAGAGTTCTTAAAGAGGTGTTCTTCAGCAAGCCAATGCTCAGCCTGTTCTCTGGACAGGATTAATGCTACTGATAATTGGAATGCCAGGGAATGGAAAACTGAAGGGCCAAGGCAGAGGTTACTCAGCAAGTTAGTACYGCTTTAAGATTTCTTGGCTATTCTGCTAAGGCATAAATACAGAACTTTTGTACAGGAAGCAATGATACAGAGAACAATGCCTAGTCCCTCCTTTTATGATCTAACCTGTCCATCACCACACCATCGAAGGAATGCATCTTCACGGACCTACCATTTAGGACACTTTCTCTGTAATTCACTAGGGTATCTGGTAGCCCAGGAAAACGTTATAATATATACCATAGTGTAGTCAGATTTTATTCTTTCTTAATAAGAAAAAGGTTACCTCTGGGCAGTAAGAAAGATACTCAGTACCTGTGCAAAAATATTATATGAGGCGTACAGCCTGAGTTTAAGTGTGACCCTGGGAAGGTCACTGTGGGTCTCCAAGCTGAGCTTGGCCATCACTGTGCTGAACATTGTCAGTTGTTGTACCCATTTGAAGAGAGCCCTGGCTCTCTCTTGCATTGACATTTAAACACTTTTCCCATTTAACTCTGGGCCCCCACAGAGGCTGCACCCATGGGTTAACCATGATTTTCTTCCTTCATTTCTAATATCAGGCCGAGGGGTGTTTTTCTCCTCTGGAAAGTTCGTTTTTCTTGACCTTTGGCCCCAGTTGTAAGTCTGCATCTTTATGAAATCCATAACAAATGTATGCAGAATGAGGTGGTGCACTCTTGTAATCCCAGCCACTAGGGAGGCTGAGACAGGAGAATTCCAAGTTTGGGGTCACTCCAGGCAATTTATTGGGACCCTGTCTTAAAATAAATTTAAAAAGGGTTAGGGATGTATCTCAGTGTTAGTGTGCTTGCCTAGCATGTGTGAGGCTCTGGAGAGAGTCACTCAAAAGTTTTTAGAAAGACTGTTTTACATAAACCATAGATAAAATTATCAGTGGTGAAGTGAGATAAACTGGACATCCTACTCAGGGGACTTGTTAGGGAAATGGAGTTCTGCCCACTCTTCTTTGCTCCTGAGTAAGGAGAATACCACAAAGTAGAAGGCAGAGAGTACAGAAAATAAAAGTTTCTTTCAAACTTCTAAAGAAAGATAATTTCCTATCTTATTTACATATCCTAAAGCAGTAGTAGTTCTTTATATTTTTGGTGTCAGGATTCCTTTATACTCTAAAATCACTGAGAACCCCAGAGAGCTTTAGGTTATGTGAATTATATTTACTGATATTTTTGTACTAGAAACTTTAAAATGTTTAACTTTGAAATAATTTCAGATTCACAGAAAGTTAGAAAAACAATATACTGAAACATTCAAAAGCTCAAGAATACACAAGTATGTACTCTATTAGCTGTTACATCACACATTGTACAGTATCTGTAAAACTTCACTGTGCAGGATTGAGAAAATAAGAGAAGAAATGGCAAGAGTTGTTTCAGTAGCATAAAGAAAATAAGTTTTTGGTTTCATAAGCCCCTGAAAGAGGGACCCTAGACAACACTTTGAGAACTGCTATCCAGTATAAATTAATGTAAATGCCAAGGCACTAAAACAACACAGAGTAAGTTCTTCGCCTGAAGAGAGTGGTGAAGTCCCAGGAAGGCACTGTCCTGGGGTCAAAAGGCTCAGCTTTGGTGACTGATCCAATTTACCATAACCAAAAAGCAGGCTGAAAGACAACTGACTCACGATTCTTTGCTGGGAACTGAGGACATGTTTTCAGGAAACATGCTGTCTCTATCAACTTCATTGAGTGCTAAAAAATTTTATAATTATGTCAACATATCTTCCTTCTCATAAAATGATGATAGCAGCAACAAGGTACATCCTGAGGATTAGTGTCTGGCTGGGTCTTGTATTACCAAGTCCTTCTAGATGGTTATTGATCCCCAGGAAATGCTTGCCTCTCAACCGTTATTGTTTAATTAATGTTGTTGAGGCTCACGCTACCCAGCAGCAAACACACAGGGTTCTGTGTGTTGATTTTGATCACTGCTGCTGTGGGGATACTATAAAAGCAGAAGTCAATTATCTTTTTTTTTTTTTTAATCTATTCCACTGGGTTTAACTTAGGAAGTAGTGAACATATTTAGTGGTTTTAGAAAAGCTTTATTTTACTTTTAGATTTCTGAAAAGAACAATGTTTGCATTTTAAGATGAAACCTGGCAGAAGGTTTTTAGTTTGTGATTTGACCTAAGTGTATCCTTTGGGTCTAGTCTCTCAAAGAAAACCATGAATGCTCTCAACCAAACAACCCAATCTAGCATTTGTGCACCAACCCAGAGGGAAGGCTACACCAAGAAGCCAACGACTGGTGGTCCCTTTGGCAGTACTTCTTGGTGCCAAAAAATGTGGTTTCTGGCAGGGACTCTTGGTACTCATTAATAGGATGGTTAGAAAATCTGTATCAATTACTAATGCCGATAGTGCTGCATGAAATGCTCAGCCTTTGGAGCCATGATGTATGTAGTCATCAGCTGCATGCAGGGAAGGGAATGTGTCAGAAGACAGAACTCCCTAAGTCCCCAGTTCTCCAAGGACAACACTTAGTTTGTCAATCCTGGAATTTTAACTCAGAATGTTTCACATACTACTCTCTTGGAGAGGGGTGTGCCATTAGTAAGTTCTGAAACCTTCATGTCCAAAGAACATGTTGAACGTGGTCAACAACAGTCTGTAATTTACAAAAGTATTGTACACATACAAAATTAAATTCTTGGCTCTTCTCCTTAAACCTGTTCCTCTCATCATCTTCAGTAAATGGTAGCTCCAGCCTTCTAGTTGGATGCATCTTGACTATTCTGTTTTTCTCACACCCCACATTCAGTCCTGCTGGCTCTTCAGCACCTCTGCAGACTTGGTCACCTTTCTCCATCTCTACATACACCATGCTACCAAGCCAAGCCACCACCATCATCTCTCTCCTAGAGGACTGCAAGGGCCACCTAACTGGTCTTCCTATTCCAACTCATTCTCCCCAGAGTCCCTTTTCTCCTTATCTTAAGATATAACACTCCTTCTAACAATCAAAGCTAATTTTACAAATACCTTAAAAAACAGTAAATGTAGGCAAGAACCATCAAAGGATGCTAAAGTCATTGGGAACAGTTTGTTGGTTACCTGGATGTTTACTATTTATACAGACTCAAGGCTATTTCCACCAGAAGGAAAAGGGACAGTTACAAGTAAAAAATTTAATAAAACTATCTCAGGAAAGTTAACATCACCAATAACAGGACAGGTTGACATTATGTGCCTCCATTGTGATGCACTGAGAAGGACCCATCATCACTTAGTCTTCCTGAAAAAATGTATACCTTTAATCTATAAAGGGATTAGATTATCCAAATGGAGAAGCACTCTACATAGCAACTGGCGTATCTTTCAAAAAATTCTGATGTTAATGAAAGACAAAGGAAGACTAAAAACCTGTCAGAATCAAGGAGACTGAGGAGATAATACCCTTTTTATAAATGAAAGGAATAATGTTGGATTGGACCCTGGAGCAAAAAAAAAAAAAAAAAGGTATGAAGGCAATTATTGGGACATTTAGAGAAATCTGAATATGAAATATATATGTACACTAAAGTTTTCATCGATGTTAAATTCCTTTAATTTGATAAATACATCATGGCCACGTAACAGACCACCTTTGTTCTTAGGAGATATTCACTGAAATATAACTTTTGAGGTAAGACAGTCTGTCACTTCTAGACCAGCTCAGCAAAAACAGTATGAGAGAGAGAGAGAGAGAGAAACAAATGTGGCAAAATGTTAACAATCGGTGGTGAATCTATGTGAATGGTATATATTTTGCTCCTTATACCATTATTGCAGATTTTCTGTAGATATAAGATTTTTCAAAATCAAAACACATATATGGGCTGGGGCTGGGGCTGAGTGGTAGAGCACTTCCCTACCATGTGTGAGACACTGGGTTTGATTCTCAGCACCACATATAAATAAAATAATAATAATAATAATAATAATAATAAAGGTCCATCAACAACCAAAAATATTAAAAAAATATATATAATAATTGAAAAATTACATCGTGCCTCTACTTAAGCCCCTCCAATGGGCTCCCATCTTACTTAGATAACGGGTCTCACTGCCCGCTGCTCTGGCTCTCTTGCTCTGCTCCTAATGTCCTTCATGGTAGTCTTTCAATATGCCACTCACAGACCTCCTCAGGGATTTTGCATTGTGGCTTGCTGGGCATGGAATGGCCTTCCCCAATTCTCCCATGGATCCCTTCTTCACATCCTGTCAGAGAGGCTTTTCTCACTACTCTTTGAAAGACAGTAACTTCCTGCCTTTACGCCARTGCCTCCATCTGTTCCATTTTTCCTGGCACACCTATTTCTACCTGACAGATCATGTATTTGTCTTCTTGCCATCTACTTCTTTCCTTGGCACATGAACTCCTTGAGGAGGTAGATGGGTTTGCTCCTTGCTGTGTCTCCAGCCTCAAGAACAGTGTTTGCTGGACAGTTAAGTATCTGCTGGGTGAATTCACTGCTTTATAAATGCTCATTTAAAACATCAGAATGCTAGTTCATGCTCCCGAAGTTCCTGGTAAAGAGCCACTAAGTGTCCAACACTTTTTCAGGAATCTGTGTCTGAATAACTCTCCACTTGTGGAATTGTGCTCAAAGCAGGAAACAAGGGCTGCTAGGGGGACATGTTTTATTCATGTTCCCTACCCTGAACACACTGATAGAAACCTGTCTAGTTCTTAACTAGATGAACTGATTCTTCTACCCTGCCCTTTTCTGAGCAGATCAAATCCAGACTCTGAAAACCCTGAGCCCCCGCATGCTACGTTAACCTGAATCTCAAGGACATGGAAAGCCTGGGACCCCAGAATCAAGGTGCCTGATATGACATGCAGGGTATACTGCAGGGTGTTCTGCTGTTCCAGGGGTAGTCAAGAAGCTGCAAGTGGCAAGGAGACAACACAGGACAATGGTTTTCCCATGTGAGCTCTCAAAAAGAGAGTGCGATTCCCCAAGTTACTTACGTCTGTGGAGGTGGGGCTGGGCAGGGACACAGGCTGCACAGGTGCAGGGAAAGTGAATGTGGTCTCTGTCTTTTCACTTTCAGGGGAGTCGGGATGACTGGATGGGGGGGATGTTGGGGTAAGGGCTCCAAACCCCAGCACTGCATTGTATTTTGGAGGACGACCTATATACCAAGAGAAGGGAACAAAAGGGGAAACGGGGAGGGAAAGAGAAGGGGAAAACGATCTTACATACCTTTGGCCAGTGTTCCTCATTGGCTAGCATGGAAAAGGAAGTGAGGTAGCGACAGAAGGTTAATACAACAGTCCCAAAGGAAGGAAGAGAAGCAAAGACTTAAACGTCATTAGAAACAACTACAAGAACCCCAAAGGGAAGGAAAAGAGGGCCTGGGAGAGTAACAGGAGGTGCTGGCTTATGGAAGAAGACCTCATCCTGGGCAGAATATGGTGACATTCCTAGACTCACAGTTTGAGATCTCTAGTGCAGAAACCAAGATGTCCAATGGGAGCCAAGGCAAGGAATGGGGTTTTATTTTGCATGCTTTTTGCATATTGTTCTTTAAGGTTTCTCTGCAATTATCATTCTTACAATGATAGTAATGGTTCTAAAGTTCCCACAAACAGACTTATTTAGCATTTTTACTTTTCTATTTCTCTCCTGTCTACATTTTGGTTGTTTTACTGCAGGTGAAGGTGGAGAAGGAAAGACAAAGCAAGGAGACAAAATTCGAAAATAGTTGCATTTTCATCCCTTGCTGTTAGAACTATTCAAAGAGAGGTTCTGGGAGCATCCCGAACCTACAAGTAACAAGAGGCTTTGGGCTTAATGGTAAATTTAGGCATTCATGGATCTCTCCCCAACAGATTGAGACTATCTCCTTGGTTATGTCACAAACATTCTGGTGATCTACACGTCTAAGAAATGGGGCTGTTCTAAAGTCCCATAAAAGTCCATCACCAGCACTCTTAAAGAACTGAGTTGAGGCAGAGCACTTTGAATTGAACCTTATACTACAAGGCATCTATGAAGGAGCACTAGGGGTGCGGGAAGTCTATTGAAGCCACTCTCATCTTACCACATATCAAAGTCAGGGCCCTTGGTCTTCTAAGAGCCAGGACCATAGCTTCTAAGCTGTGAGTGATCATAAGACCAGCACACCAAAGAGGGAAAACCCCCAAAAACCAAACCCAGCCAGAGAGGCCCAGAACTGCTTATCAGCACTGGTGAACAGTGCATGTGGAATCATGACTTTACCCCCAGTTACAGATTATACTAGCATTGTGCAAAGAGTCACGATTCTGTCAGACATTACACCAATATTCCCTGTGCTAAACTGGCAATGTCCGCAGTCCAGACACAGATCTGCCAGTCTGTCTTTTCAAGGTACTTAGTGCTGTAAGGAGAGGAAGTGAAGAYGTATGCTCGTTGTTTACCCATGGAAGGCACATCCTAGGTATTGTGAATAAAGGCTTTTATCCTCTGACCTTGGCAAGAGGTGCCAAGGTCTTTCTGGCTCATTTAATTCCTATACTCTAAGCAGATACTGCCCACCAACAGACCAATTAACTGTGACCTCTGGCAGGGGAGGGGAGTTCTTTCTGAGAACTGTGTTAGAAGTCACTAAAAAAATAGTTGAACACAAAACAACAAAAAATAACTTACTAGCATTGGTTACTGTGGCCAGGAATCAATCTAAAGTGCAGCAACTTAGGATTTCCCACCTAAATATTTTTAGTAACTTGWAGGACAGGACTGATAAAATATTGGAATGGGTCACTAAGGGTCAGTATCTCTCTTCTGGAGGAGAAAGTAACAATATAGCTGTAGTCCTTCTTAAGGCAGAAAAAGGGTTGAGATGACCTCCTCAGCTTCCTAGAGCCGTGTGTCAGTGTGTGCACACGCAAAAATTAGTATGCTAGGCCACTCTCTCTGCAACCTTTCTAGCCTGGAACTATAATTCAGGGGTACATTACCATGTGGAGAAAGAGACCTTGGGATGTATTACTGACATCAAAGAACAATTTCAGTATCTTGTTTATGAGCTCAGACGTGAGCTATTAAGACCTATTTAGACCTGCACAGTGAGAGCTATTGCCGCTGCTATTTTTCTGCCCTATGACTAAGGTAGAATGCTCAATGGGGGTCTGAAAGGTGGGAACAGAGCTCCTCAGGAGTTAATGCTTTAGGGAGTCTGTTTTGATAGTGGCTTTTTCTTCTTTAAGTGGAAATACCTCTTTTTAAAGATTCTATGTTCTCTCCTTCCTGGAAAGTCTGTAGTTCATGTTCTAGCCTTACTGGAAGCAGGGTGACTGAGACACTCACTATGAAGAACACCTTGGAAACAGTAGGGCTCTGCTCTTCTTAATGATGCTCAACGCTCCCTTTCACATGGTGTTCTATTCACTGCTATTCCTGGGCAGCCTGTAGGCTTGGGGCAGAAATGCTGCATTAAGCCATTCACCTGAGTCAGCTTTGCCAGACCCAGAAAAGTCAGCTTTTGATTCCGCACATACAACTCTGAAAAGAAATCTCATTCTGTGTTCCTCCTGTTCTCAGAGAACCACAACAAACTATTTTCAAGGGACAGAGGGGTCAGGTTCTAGGAGGGAGAAGGGAGGGAAAAGAAACACAACACAGAAAGCAAAAGCAACAGCAAGGTGGAGACTGAAAAATGCACTCACCTCTCTTCCGGGTCCCAGGATGCATTGTGCTGTTTAGGTATGTGACGGCACTCTTCTTACGCTTTGGGAATTGAAGAAGGAAAGGTGACTGGCTGAGCAGCCTGGTTATTACTGAAGACATGCATACATGCCTGTCACACGCTAACTAGTTAGCACCAACCATCCCCAAAATCTCAGTATAATGGGTTTTATTATGAGAACTTGGTCCTCAGAAAATATGCCAGAGTTCGGCTTCTGTTTCAGATGATAGTTGTGATAAAGAAAGGACAAATTAAAAATTTTCAGGCAGGTTTGTATTTGCTCAAAATTAGGTTGGGGGGAACCCCTAAGGGGTAAGCAGTGAATAATAAAAATGAAATAATGTGATGAGCCAGAGTAAAACCATCATTTCACTGAGCTGGCCAAGTACAAGGTGCTGCTTGCTCTTAAGCAGGTTTTCAGATGGGAGGTGCTAAACAAGTCCCAAATAAAACTGGAACTTTAAGGAAAAGATCAAAGCAGGACAGGAGTACCTCTGGTTCAAAGACTGCTCCACTGTATACTGGATTTGCTGTTGTTCTTCTTTTTCGCTCTTGCCTCTTGCTTTGGATTTCTTGGGAAAAGAAAAGGCTTGGATTAGAAGACAGGTATGGGAAATCTAAAAAACTGAACTTGGTTATTTATCTATTGGTTTTTCCTGTAACAAATCAAGAATGGGGTGAGTCTCCATTTCACTGGAGCCCCCACAGAGGGAAGCCCACTATTAGAAGCAAATATGTAGGATCACCTGCTCTCCTCTCTCAGAAAGCAAGACTGCACTGTCCCACAGCATGGCTCTGAGACTGGGAGCCCACAATATACCACCACACTTAACAAATAAACTGTCCTGATTTATTATTAGACTGCTGTGCACATAGGTCTGGATGAGCTTTCTCCATAAACTTATACTGAGAAACCAAAATTCACCATTCTTTAATCAATCATTCTTGAATCAAATAACCAAGACAGGCATAACTTTGTAAGGCTTTAAGATTCTGATAACACAAAGTAATTAGAAAATACAGACAAGGACTTGTTAGAAGAACACTTGCTACTTTACTGGCAAAATGAAAGYGCATCCCCCACACTGATCAGAAGTCACCTAATTTAGGCAGCTTGGGGAGGTTTCCCAGGACCACAGTATGGATGACGCTAGGAAGGGAAGGCCCTAAACATTAGATGGAGGGGAGGCAATGTTTTCTCTAAAGGAAATGAAGTCCATATGGTTGAATCATACTCTACTTGTGTTCTAATTTTCTATCCTAGGAATTCAAACACCACTTTCAGGGACAAAGCTGTGGGCCAGAAAGAAGGCAGTGCCAAGAATATCTTTTCTCTTACCTTCTAGATGGTCATGTGTTACCAACCCTAGAGACACCATGAAGGCAAGTTTCTGTGCCAGAGAAACAAAAGAAGAATATACTTCAGTCTGGGTTCTCACAAAGCCAACTGCTGGTTCCTAGTTAGACACCAGGGAAAGCCCAGTGGGCTGGTTGCTTGACGGAGGCTGGGTTCAGAGGAACCAAGAGCAGACATTTGCCACTCTGGGAAGCACTGGAGCCACTCTAGAGGCTTTCTAGTCTAACAGGGCCAAAAAGGAAGGACAGGGGTCTACATCTTCCACTTGCTCAATGTCACAAATCTGCATCTTGAGTAACCCAAGTTTTTGTCAGAAAAATATTCTTAAAGAGAATTTTATATTAAAAAACACACAAAGAATTTAAAGAGTATTCCATGAAACAGGCTCCAAATTTCAAGTACTTCACTTGTCAGTATTAGTTGGGGTTTTTAACATTTTTTACTGCCACTAATTAGACAATGCTACCGCAAAGCTAAAATGATTTTCAAGAATTACAACAGTTTCTGCTTTATACTGTTATTTATTTATTCATTTACTTATTTTGATGTCCTGGTACTCTGGAACTAAACCCAGGGGCACTTAACCACTAAGCCACATCTCCAGCCCTTTTTTAAATATATTTTACTTTGAGACAGGGTTGCCAAGTTGCTTAGGCCTACTACGTTGCTGAGACTGGCATTGAACTCATGATCTTCTTGTCTCAGCCTCCTGAGCTGCTGGAATCACAGGCATGTGCCACCTGGCTGATACTAAAATTTTAAAATCAAACATAGATCTAAAAATCATGGAGCAATTTCTCTCTGAAGACCACTATATTAGGGCTCCAACAGAAACAAGGATGATTAGACTACTAATCTGACTGCAGGTTCCTAGTTAGACACCAGGGAAAGGCCAGTGGGCTGGTTGCTTGATGGAAGCTGGGTTCAGAGGAACCAGGAGCCACAAAAATGGAATGTTAAGACACTTCAAGCTATAGAAAGCAACAGATTTATTTAAAAAATGTAGTTATAGATGAACAGTATATCTTTATTTTATTTTTAAAATATATCTTTATTTTATTTATTTTTATGTGGTGCTGATAATCAAACCCAGGGCCTCGCACATGCTAGGTGAGTGCTCTACCACTGAGCCACAGCCACAGCCCCTTATTTATTTATTTTTATGTGGTGCTAAGGATTAAACCCAGGGCCTCAATGTGTTAGGCAAGTGCTCTGCTACTGAGATACAGCTCCAGCTCCAACAGATTGATTTTTATTCTTCTCTTTGGTTGTTTGTGGTCTGAAAAGTATGACTTTAGAAACCACTACATGTGTTTTCTGAATATGTCAAATAATACATCATCAATTTCTTTCTCTGATGAAAAAAGAACATCATTAACTGTTAGCAGACAAGCTCCTATAGTTTTTTTTTTTAAGTTGCAGATGGACGCAATGCCTTTATTTATTTATTTTAATGTGATATTGAGGATCAAACTCAGTGCCTTACACGTGCTAGGCAAGTGCTCTACCACTGAGTCACAACCCCAGCCCCTCCTATAGAATTATTAATASGATGGTTTGGTCTTTAAATATCTTGACCTCTTCTTCTCAGCTTTAAATATTATGATACTTTGTCTGAAGTGAGAGGTTCAAACTATTCAAGATGCATTCCTTGAGAASAGAGGAATGTGTCTACAGGTATCTTTAGAGTCCTGAAAAAAAATGTTCTAATTTTACTTCCCATTTCAAAACCTTTGGTGGACACCTATTCCCTCCACAGCTGGAAAGGAGCAGTAGTCCTAAACTCACAGCCCATTTCCTATGCTACACATTGAAATGGCATTCATTTTGTGGTTGCCAATAACCACATTCCTAATTTCTACTATTTCTTTAAAATAAAATCAAGGTTAGAGGGCTGTCAGTTGAGGCCAGGTATGGTGGTGCACACCTGTAATCCCAGCAGCTTGGGAGACTGAGGCAGGAGGACTTCAGTTTCGAAGCCAGCCTCAGCTACTTAGTGAGGGCCTAAGCAACTTTGAGACCCTGTCTCAAAATAAAAAATAAAAAGGGCTGGGGGATGGGACTCAATGGCAAAGCAACCTGGGTTCAATCCCTGGCGCACACACACACACACACACACACACACACAAAAAAAATATGGCTGTCTCAGTTGGGTGGTAATACACAATCTGTAATTCCTGCTACTTAGGAGGCTGAGGCAGGAGGATCACGAGTTTGAGGCCATCCATGCCAACTTAACGAGATCCTGTCTCAAAAAATAATAAGGGATGGGGATGTAGCCAGGTGATAGGGCAGTTGCCTACCATATACGAGGCCCTGGCTTTGATCCCCTGTACCACATACAAACAAAAAAGATTAGAAGGCTGTCCACCAATATTCTTTGCTAATAAACCAGTGTTTAGATTGACATTCAAATGCATCTTTTTAATCTTGGGTCACTCACATCCAGCTCCTCTTTGCCAGTCTAGGTCAAGCTCACAAAATAATTATTAAATGAAAACAATCTCCTGTCTTGTTTCAGTGATAGAACAAAAAGATTTTAAGAACTTTTGCCAAATACCCACACATGTAACCACATACCCATATACATATTATATAGTATGTATATCAAGAGCTCATCTACTTTCTTTATGGCAGTGATTCTGTCCAACTAAGTGAAATATCTGCTACTACACAGATGGCATCTGACTGCTCACATTATGTGCTACTGACCTGAGATATTCTTTAGTTTCTTGTGGTAAGGAAATTCTGCCAACAGTTTATTTTTCCTCCACCAAGCACAAAACCTGTCATTAATTTTTTTTCTTCCTGTGGTGCTGGGGATTGAACCCAGGGCCTTACTCATGCGAGGCAAACACTGTACCAACTGAGCTATATCCATAGCCCCTTGTCACTAATTTTATGGATGATTTTATAAGTTTCTCAGCAATTTGTGTAACTAGTACTTTTCTGTGGCTTTAAATTTTGGTCCTCTCTTTCTTTTTCCTTTTCAGTATTGGGAATCAAACCTAGGACTTCATGCAAACTAGGCAATTATTCTATCACTGAGCTACACCCACCCTTGTTCCTTTCTTCAAAGATGAAATTAAAAATTCATTCATATCATATCATAAAGAATTACATTTGGTGCTTATTTTTGAAAAACCTGGGCTAGTTCAATAAATCACTGATGTGTATGTATGTATATATATATATATATATATTCATACATACATATGTGTGTGTGTGTGTGTGTGTGTGTGTGTGTGAGAGAGAGAGAGAGAGAGAGAGAGAGAGAGAGAGAGAGAGAGAGAGATATGAAGTTTTGATGGCTTTATGCCACTATTTGACATAGTTACATTATGAAAAATGCATGGAGGATAAGAGGGAGATGGATTACAAGTCTAATAAAATCCAACTATCAGAGAGTCATCATATTACCTGTCTGCATTTTTCTTTTATAGTTGATTATACAAAAGCATTAAAGTAAGATATTCTCTTGTTTGAGGACACACAAATTCACATTCTGTATTTGTATCGGGGTCTTGTTTGCTATTTATATTTGTAATTCTCTCCTAAGTTTATATAGATGTTTCATCTTTTTTTATGCTTCAATGAACTACTTTTATACTACCAATTCATTTAGGATTTGGGGTTTTAATGCAATAAAAAGTAATACAAAATGCACATTTAACAACTGTAATCGATAATGTAAACAGACATAAGCTGAGTGAACTGGACATTTATAAATGCCTGAGACAAAGAGAATATAATAATAATTTGGAATATAACAGTACAGCTGTAACATGTATTTGAACATCACCACTTCAAAACTTTTCCTTTGAAATAGCAAAATACTTAAGTGCCAGTGCATAGATCCTTAGGGCCATACTCAAATATGCCCCAAATGTTATTTAATTCTTTCTGATACAATATGAATGAATGTTTATGCCCTAAATGTGGGTGCAACTAAATATAAAAAAAAGCGACTACTCAAATTAAAGCCTCAGATAGACCCAGCACAATAATATTGGATAATTTCAACACATTTCCCTCACCAACCAGACTCGGAAATAATATTGTTGGATAAAAGAAAATATAAGAAAAAGATCGCTGAGTGATTCAGAAAGCAGGTATCCCTCCCGCCTCATGTGGGAATGAACTACACATCAGAGGCTGAGCCACACTTCAGAAAGATGGACCTACCTGAGGGTTCTCTTCCCGTTTTGGTTTGGGTGCAGCAGGTGGGGTGATGGTACGGCTCTCTGTTTGTTTTTCATCTGTTTCTGTGTGGGATTTAACTGTCTAGGAGAGAAAAATTCAATGTAAATTCAGAATTCATTTTTTTTTAAATTGAAAAAAGTAATTTAACTGTTAAAGGCAGCTGAAGAAAAGAACATGCTCAAATCTAGAACATATTAATAGAGGAGTTCACAGCATAGATTTCACTGGGGATAAAATGTAAAGACCCAGCTGAAGATTAATCAGACTGTACAACTAGAATAAATAAGAATCTATAAATAAAGTAATTTAAGTTATACAAAAAGAAATATCCAAAGTAAAATTCCCATGTATGAAATGAAGTGCTGCTCTGATRTCAATGTACTATAGGATGTGGAGGTAGCTTCCCAGAAGCAAGTCCACTGTCATATATGGGTCAAGCTCTAGACCACAGCATGCTCAAGAGCTGAGGGTCAGAATCAATCTGCATAAATGCTCTTCTTCAGAATAACTCCAATCATAATCTGAGAGACTGAAGAACTACCTTTACTTGGGATATTTAAAACCTGCCTATATTATCCATTAGGAGAGAGAGGAAATTGCTAAAGGGCCACCTTGCAAGGGCTGAAGTCCAGAATACTCCCAACTCCCTCTAGAGACATCCACTTAAACATCAGAAACACCAGTTGCATGACTATCTTTAAACACAAATGGTAGTAACCTACTGGCAGACTGAGACTGTATTACTATTCTTTCCACAACCTAATGGATAATTAATTTTATGAGTTCTGTAAATACTCAAATTATTTTAGAACAGTAGACATAAAACTGTATATAAAACCTAATTTAGTTTTTCAAAATTGAAAAAAACTGCACAAAATTTGGACTTTTTGTATGTAACTACGAGTAATTAAATTAGGATCAAATTATTTCATTATTGATTGGCAGGAGTAAAAGACTTCAATCCTACAAAAACAACATCAAAAGTTTTAAAAAATCATAATAAACATCTTTCTATAATAACAMTGAGTGCAAATGGTGTCAACTTTCCAATTAAAAGACAGACTGGCAAAATAGATTTAAAAACAAGACCCATCTTGCTAGAGATTCATCTTACAGGCAAAGACAGCTACAGGCTGAAAGTGAAAGGGTGGAAATTGATATACCATTTGAATGGAGCCTGAAAACAAGCAGGAGTAGCTGTTCTCATATCTGACGAAGCAGACTTCAAAGCAAAATTAATCAGAAGAGACAAAATCATTTCACACTGATAAAGGGAATAATCCAACATGAAAATATGATGATAATAAATATTTATGCCTCATAATTAAGAGATACTACTTGAATTAAAGCTTCAGAGACATCCCAGTATAATAAAACTGGATGATTTCTCCCTCACCATTGGTGAGGTCATCCAGACATAAACTCAGGAAGACTCTTTGGACCTGAAAAATATTATAAATCAAATGGACTTAAGAGACATCTACAAAATATTTCATCCAACAAAGCTGAATACACATTCTTCTCAGCTACACATGGAGTCTTTTCCAAAATGGACCACATTTTAGGCCACACACATACACACACACACACACACACACCTCTTAGCAAATACAAAACAACAACCACCATGAAAACCCTGATACAATTCCTTGCATCTTATCAAATCATAATGGAATGATTTGATAAGTACCAAAAAACCCCACAGAACTATATAAACACATGGAGATTCAATAATACACTTTTAAATGATGAACAGATGATGGAAGAAATTAGGGGAGGAATTTAAAAGTTCTTAAGACCCAAAGGAGAATAATGATACAACATATGGAAACCTATGAAACACTATGAAGGCAGTTTAAGAAGAAAGTTTATAGCTATGAGTGTCTACATAAGAAAACCAAAAAGATTCCAAATAATCAACCTAATGATACATAATAAACATAAACAAACGAATTCCAAAACTAGTAGAAGGAAGGAAATAATTAAAATCAGAGTCAAATCAACGAAATTGAGAATACAAAAAGAATACAAGGGGGCTGGGGGTATAGCTCAGTTGACAGAGTGCTTACCTAGCATGCACAAGGCTCTGGGTTGAATCCCCAGCACCACCAAGGGGAAAAAAGTACAAAGGATCAGTGAAATGAAGAGTTTGGGTTTTTTGAAAACATAAAACAAGATGAAGTGCTGGGGTTGTGGCTCAGATGTAGAGTGCTCACCTAGCACATGTGAGGCCCTGTGTTTGATCCTCAGCACACAGAAAAATAAATAAATAAAGGTATTGACAACTACAACTAAAAAATAAACATAAAGACAAAAACAAGACCATAAGCCCTTAGCCAAACCAACCAAAAGAAAAATAGAGAAGACTCAAATTAATAAAATATAGATAAAAGAAATTACCACAAACATCACAGGAATCAAGTGAGTAGATCATTAGGAATTATTTTGAGCACTTACATTCCCATAAATTGGAAAACCTAGAAGAAATACATACATTTCTAGATACACTGACCTGCCAAAATTAAATCAAGAGAACACAGAAGACCTAAACAGCCCAATAACTAGTAATGAGAAAGAAGCAGTAGTAAAAACAAAACAACGAAGTACACRACTAGAAGGATTCTCAGCTGAATTCTACCAGACCTTTAAAAAAGAATTAATGCCAATGCTCCTCAAATTATTCCGTGAAATATAGAGGAACGAACATTTCCAAATTCATTCTTGTGAAGCCAGTATCACACTCGTACCCAAACCATACAATGACACATCAAGGAAAGACCAATATCCCTGATGCAAATATCCTTACTAAAATATTAACAAACTGAATTCAACAAAATATTAAAAAGATTGTACATCATTACCAAGTTATTTTTATCCTAGAGATGCAAGAATGGCTTAACATATGCAAATCAATAAATGTAAATTCATCATAAATAGAATCAAGGACAAAAACCACTTAGTCATCTCAACAAATGCAGAGAAAGCCCTTGACAAAATTCAATACCCATTTATGATTAAAAAAAAGCACTGAAGAAACTAGTGACAGAAGAACCCTACCTCAACATCATAAAGGTGTAAAAGAAAAACCCAAAGCCCAAAGCCAACCTCATAGTAAATGGGGACAAACTGAAAACATTTCCTTTAAAAATCTGCAACAAGACAGGATGTCCACTCTCACCACTTTTATTTAATACAGTGCTAGAAATTCTAGCCAGAACAATTAGGCAAGAAAAGAAAATAAAAGGGATAAAAATAGAAAAGGAAGAAGTCAAATTAAAACTATGGACGATATGCCTCTGTACTTAGAAGATCCAAAAAGCTAATAAATTCAGTCAAGTAGCAGGTTACAAAATCATCACATAAAAATCAAKAGCTTTCTTATATACTGCTGGGCTGAAGTAGTGGCTCATGGTAGAGCACTTGTCTAGCATGAGTAAGGCACTAGGTTTGATTCTCAGCATCACATATAAATAAATAAATAAACAAACAAACAAATAAATAAATATCCATTGACAACTAGAAATCAGGAAAGCAATCTCATTCACAAATGGCCACAAAAGCAAAACAAAAAACATAAGAATAAATCTACTCAAGGAGTTAAAGAACCTCTACAGTGAAAACTATAGAACACTAAAGGAAGAAATTTTAAAAGACACAAGATGGGAAGACCTCCCATGTTTGTGTATTAGCAGAATTAATATTGTTAGAATGGCCATAGTACCAGAAGCAATACAGATTCAATGCAAACCCCATCACAATACCAACAACATTCTTCACAGAACTAGAAAAAACAGACCTAAAATTCATTTGGAAGAAAAAAAGATACCGAATAGCCAAAGCAATTAGAATTTTTGGCTTAGAAGCCAAAAAAGCATTGCCGGAAGCACCATAATACCTAATTTCAAATTATACTGCTGAGCTATAGTAACAAAAACTGCATGTATTGGCATAAAAACAGACACACAGATYGATGGTAGAGAATAGAAGGCACAGAGACAAACCCACACACCTAGTCATCTGATACTTGACAAAGATGCCAAAAACATACACTAGAGAAGATGGCCTTTTTAATAGATGGTATAATGCACCAATAAAAATGTGGGGGAAAAAGATTCTTAAAAATCATAATGCTGTGAAATATTTTACCAGATCTGAAAAACTAGCATAATCACAAAAATCTTTCACTTTCTTTCCTGGCCACTTCCATATTTTCTTTCTGCTTTCCAAATTATATTACATCAGGAAAGTGTAAGCAATCAATACTGCAGCAAGTGCTCCTGTGGGGCATAAACGCGGCCATGTGTGTGTATGTGCGTGCGTGTGTGTGGTCAGAGTCCTGCCATACGTCTCCCTTTGTACCATAAGCTACTTGAGTGGGGGCTATTCTGTACACCCCTTGTTTTGCACCCTTTGTGCTTAGTGTAGTACTTCACTCATTGCAGGAATACAAAAAGAGTTGATTGTTCGTCTGAGTCAAGAATGTAACCTACCAGGAGCATCATTCAAGTCTTTTCCTTCTCTATCTTTCTCTCTCTCTTCTCTATCTCTCTCTCTCTCTCTCTCTCTCTCTCTCTTTCTCTTCTCTCTCTCTCTCTCTCTCTCTCTCTCTCTTTCTCACACACACACACACACACACACAGTCTCTCCCCCGCCCCCTGAGTTTAACCAAAAAGGACACCTTTCCTCCATAAAATAAACCTCCTAAGGGAAAGTAGTTTATAATGACATTTTAAGGTCTAAGTTTATTTTCATGGTTCTTTGAATGTGGAAGGACAAAAGTATGAGGGAGGAGAGAGAAAAGGTTCATTGCTCCATCCCAAGGCTGTGTTAAGTAGCTTCCCGGTGGGCTGGGGATGCGGTAGCGCGCTCGCCTGGCATGCGTGCAGCCTGGGTTCGATCCTCAGCACCACATACAAACAAAGATGTTGTGTCCGCCGAAAACTAAAAAATAAATATTAAAATTCATTCTCTCTCTCTCTCTCTCAAAAAAAAAAAAAAAAAAAGTAGCTTCCTGGAGCCCTGTTCTTCTACTTTTAAGGCTGAGTAAAGCACTTGGTGGCAATGCCTTCCCCTCTGGGGAA